AATGCCCACATGTGTGGAGTTTGAGGGGTCTGGTGGGGGGGCAGGAGGTTCTGGTGTCTGCAGGGGACTCAGTACATATGGGGCTGGGGATCCTGAGTACAGGGGGTGCAGGGGTGGGGGGAGATCTGGGTGTGTGGGACCCCCATGGAGCTTGGAGGTCCCACACAGTGGGGTGGGGGCTCTGGAATCCCATGTATGTGAGGCTGAGGGTGGGGGCATCTGGGTGTGGAGGGGGCCATGAGGCTGGGATCCCCACGTGGGTGAGGTGTGGGGGGTCACGTGCACAGCTCTGGGAGGGCTCGCATGCGGATGCGGTCCCATGGGTTGCTGGTGGGGGCCATGGGGTCCCAACACTTAGCCCCCCCCAGCAGAAGGGTGTGGGGCAGGATCAGACCTGCCCCTAGTGAGGTGTGGGGTAGATCCTGGGGCTGGGGAGGAGATGGGGGTCCATGTCCCTCCTGGCACTCCCTAACCCCTCTTTGTCCCTCTGTGCTGCCGGGGACACAGGGAGAGGTATGGCCCCAACCTGCCCCCAGACCCCCAGTGCCCCCAGTCCCCGCTCAGCCTGGGTGGGGAGGGGACCGGGGCAGTCCTGAGCGTACCCCCTCCTCCCCGCTAGGGACTTTGCGTACGTGGCCCGGGACCCCTTGACACAGGTGCTGAAGTGCCACGTGTTCCGCTGCGAGGGGCCAGCCAGCACCATCGCTGCCGGGCTGCACCGGGTCTGTGCACAGGTGAGACCCCCCCAGACCTCCCCAGGACCCCCTCAAACCGTCCCCGTGGCCTGCACCATGTCTGTGATCAAGTGAGACACCCCGTAAAATTTCCCTGGGAATCCCCGCTCTGGCCAGCACCGGTTCTGTGTCCAGGCAAAACGCTCCCAGCCCCCAAACTTGGTTTCCCCCCAAACTGCCACCTTGGCCTGAGCTGCATCTCTGCCTAGATGAGACCCCAAAAAAAGCCCCCAAGAACCCCCCACCTGTCCTGCACCAGGTCTGGGCCCCGGTGAGACACCCCCAAGACCCCCCAGGCCAAGGTAACCCACCCCAAATTCCCCTTCCGTGGTCTGCACCACATCTGTGCCCAGGTGAGACCCCCAGAAACCCACCAGGACTTGCCCTAGCCTGCACCACATCTGCACACAGGTGAGACCTCCGGGCCCCTCCAGCCAACCCCAAAGCCTGTTCCTGGGTGAGCCCCTCCCCACCCCAGTGTCCCCACAGACCTGCTGCAGGGCACAGGGGCCAGGGATCCCTGAGGGTCCCTGTGTGTCCCTGTCCATGGTGTGACAGCCAGGAGGGCTACGGGCGCCCCTTGTGTGACATCTGGGGGACTGTGGGTCACCACGGGGTTCCTGGAGGTCACTGTGGTGTGACATCTGAGAGGGCTGTGTCCCCCTGTCCCCCAGCTGACGGCGGAACGGCGAAGTGCCCGGGCAGCAGGCAACGGCCTGGGGACAGACCCCCCCCGGCTGGGGGAGCCTCCCCTGCAGGGTATGGGCCTTAAGGGGGGTACCTGTGAAAGAATTGGGGTGGCGCTGGGGGGTACCCAGGAAGGGATTGGGAGTCTGGGAGTGACTAAGAATGGCTGGAGGACTCCTGGGGGAGTCCTGCGAGGGGATAGGGCGACTACAGGGGAGGGGCCTTGTGTGTCTGGAGGTTGCCTTTGCTGGGGTAGGGCAGTTGGGAGAAGGGTGGCTTTTAGGGAGGTTTGGGGATGTGTCTGACAATGTCCCCCACCACAGTAGGACTCCTGGCCCCCAGGAGCAAGGCAGTGCAGTTGTGGGTGTTGGGAGTTCTGGGGGTGTTCTGGGGGGTCTTGAAGGGCTCTGGGACATCTGCCATGTTCCCCCCACACTGGAGTGCCCAGCGTCCAAGAGGTCTTGGTGGGGGGTTTGCATGCTGGGTGAGTACTGAGGGGTGAGGAGGGGTTCTGGAGGGATGTTTGGGCTCTGGGGTGTTTTGGGGGGCTTTGGGTGTCTGACAGTGCCTCCCCCACAGTGGAGTTCCCAGCCCCCAAGAGTGAGGTGGTTCAGCGCTTCCCTGTGTGTTACCTGGGCTGTGTCCCTGTTGCCAAGCCAGTGGGTGAGTGGGGGACTCGAGGGGAAGAGGGGAGTGTCTTGGGGAGCTCTTCCAGCCCGTGCTCAGCAGCTATGGGGTGAGGGCACCCCCAGGGTTGCCCTGACCCTCCCTGTGCCCCCCAGGCATGGATGTGATCAACGCGGCACTGGAGGCGGCGCTGGCCCCTGGCTCAGGGGAGCCCCCTGCACCCACCCCCGTGGTGGTCAGTGTGGCCCCCGCCACCCTCACCATTGCTCACCGCCAGGTGTGTGCCCTGCCCTGGGACCCCCTGCCCTGGGACCCACACCCACCCTCGCCATTACCCACAACCCTGGCCTAGGGGGGCTGTGGTGACCCTGTCCTGCTCTGGGGAGATGTGTTGACCCCCATCCTCAGTGGTGACCCCTTCCTGTTCTGGGGTCTAAGTGACCCTGTCACGCGCCAGAGGGGCTGTAGAGACCCATCCTTGTACCAGGGAGCCACAATGGCTCCTTCCATTGTCTCCCCATCCCACCACATCCCATGGGGCCCTGGGGGGCTGCATTGACCCCTCCAAGCCTCAGGGTATCATAGTGACCTCCCACCCTTCCTGGTGAGTGCCTTAGTGACACCTCATGTGCCCTGCTGAACCTTTCCCCATCCTTGGGGTGCTCCCTTCCCCATCATGCGGATGCCCTGGTGACCCCTTCCCCTTGCCATGGGTGCCCCAATATCCGCCGCTTCTCCTCCTGTGGTGCCCTAGCGACCCCTCCCCCGTGCATTGCTTTAAGCCCTGTCCATGCCATTGGTGACCTGGTGCCCCCTCCCCACCCCGGGGTGCCCCCCAGACAGAGGCGGTGCTGTGCGAGTGCCGCGTGCGGTTCCTGTCCTTCATGGGGGTGGGACGCGACGTCCGCGCCTTCGCCTTCATCATGGCCAGCGCTCCCGGCACCTTCCGCTGCCACATGGTGTGGTGTGAGCCCAACGCCGCGGGGCTCAGCGAGGCGCTGCAGGCCGCTTGCGTGGTGAGTGGGACCCCCAAGCCCCCCCCAGGCTCCCCCCGCCCCCCGCTGACCGCCCTCGCTCCCCACAGCTCCGCTACCAGAAGTGCCTGGATGCGCGGCCCCAGGCCTCCAGCTCCTGCCTGCCGGCTCCCCCGGCTGACTCGGTGGCACGGCGGGTGGGCTCTTCTGTGCGCCGGGGGGTGCAGACCCTCCTGGGGACCCTCAAACCGCGGCGGGGAGGGGCGCAGACCCCGTGAGTGGGGCGAGGGCACGGGGGGCATGTGGCTGGGCAAGGCAGCGTGGGGGGACAGGACCACCGACCCAACACTCCAGGGCACAGGCTTACCCAGGGCGTTGGGTCGGGGGTCCTGCCCCCACCACTGCCCTCGTGGTGGGTCACGCCCCCCCGAAGGTCCCCAATGCATGTGGCGTAATGAGGGTCTGTGTTGTACTAAATCATTAATTAATAAACCCATTCCACCAGCCCGGCTTGGCTCTGCATTTGGCCTCACACGGGAGGAACAGCAAGAGGAGGAGGAGGAGGAGGAGGGATAAGGGTGTTGTGTCTGGTTTGGGTCTTCATAGGATGTTGCATGCGAAGAGGGGCCGTACCTTATCAGAGGGGCAATGGGAGTAACGGGAACCATGGGCTGATCCCAATCGTGATCCCAGTGAGTGAGAGTTAGGACAAGGAGGTGGGGTGCTGGGGTCCCACCATCCTCAGTTTGGGTCTCCCTGAGCTGTGGCTGAGAATTGTGCTGAGCAGGATGAAGGTCGGTGGAGTCCATCACACCTGTACTGGGGGGTGATGGGAGCCTGAGGACTATATGCTGATCCTGATCCCAGTTCCAGTCCTGGTGGGAGAGGATAAGGAGGGGTGGTGGTGTCCATTGTGCCTTTATTGTGTAACTGGTGGGACACGGGGACCCTGTGCCAATCCTGACCTCACTCCCAGTGGCCTTGTGCCGGTCCCACTCACAGCTCCGCTCCAGGTGTGACCATGTGCTGACCACGGTCCCGCTCCCTGCCCTGCATCCAGTAAGACCACGTGCTGACCCAGCTCCTGGTGCCACCACGTCCCAGCCCCTGCTCCTGCCGGGCCCCGGCTCAGCAGAGCTGCCGCCGCTGCCAGAGCTCCTGGATGCGTGGGAAGGGCAGCGCAGGGCGCAGGGGCCGGCAGAGCGCGGGGTCGGCGGCACGGCCGGAGCGCAGGGCGCAGAGCAGGGCGGCCTTGCAGGGGCCACCGCAGGGCTCGTGGGGTGGGTGCCCCTTGTGCAGGTGGAACCAGAACAGCTGGAAGAGCCGCTCGTCGTCCTGCATCCGCCGCACCAGCCGGTCCCAGTCAGCTGGGAAGGCCGTGGGCAGCCCATAGGCCTCGCGTGCGCTGTAGAGCCGCTGCCAGCGCGGGGGAGTCCCTGGGGGCACCGCGTTGGCCTCTGTCAGGTTTAGGATGAAGGTCTCGTGGTCCAGGACCGCATGGGAGCTCCCAGGGTAGGAACCGGCCACCTCATACACGCGGTACCCTGCGGCGGGAGGGACGGTCAGCGCTGGAGGGGACACACGGTGAGGGTTTGGGGGACACGTGGAGAGGGTTTGGGGGGACACGTGGAGAGGGTTTGGGGGGACACACGGTGAGGGTTTGGGGGGACAGGTGGTGAGGGTTTGGGGGGACACGTGGAGAGGGGTTGGGGG